GTATTCATTATATGTTAATCAATACTGATTTATCATTTCTTGTAGATATTGTATAGCCGTATCACAAGAGCATATTACACCATTTTGGCCATACATCAAGGTAAAATCATTGTTTGCAAATTATTCGATACTAATATATTACCAATATTAAATTTATCAAAAAGAAATAAACTTTATTATAATAAAGAAATTGTTAGAAAAAAATTGTATTTTGTTTGTTTTTTTAATTTTTAAATTTTTGAAAAAAAATTTCTTTGTATCCAACAATAAATTAAGCACAGCCATTAGTGGAGTAGAAAAAAAAAAATGGAAAAATTGACGTTATCATTTGATAACAATGCTTATGAAATATTTCGATGCAATATTTGTAAAAGCTTTTAAACTTAACGTAGCATAAATAAACATTTGAAATATTATGAATTGTTGGAAAAGTCGGGAAGTTAAAAGTAAAAATTTTAAAAAATCAATTTTTTTTCGCATTTTTTTTACTTTTTTTTTTGTATGAGCCGAATTATATGCAATTATTAATATAAAATTATCATTTATCAACAAACATTTTATTCAACGAACAATTTTATCCATAACCTTTTTCAGAAAGACATTTCAATTCACAAAATTTTTGCAATAAATATAATTAAGGGTTTAAATTTTTGTTTAGCTCATTTAAATCATTATAGTAAACTTAATTTCAACAATTTTATCTGCAAAATGTTACGTAATTGAATTTAAAATCCAATTTAATCGGATATTTAACATTTGAAATACCATTCACTTTCATTCAATTTGTTGAACTTTCATTTCGAATAAAGAAAAGGTTTAATTTTAGTGATTGTGGTACATTACCGCCAGAAAGTTGCATTTTCGGGCAACTTCTCAATTTATCTGCTGCTTTCTGTAAGTTTCTTTTTTTTCTCCCTTTTTTTTACTTCATTTTTACGACAAAGTTTATTTTTAACGGAAAATTTTAAGCGATGATTAAATAATTTTTCCCATTGCTTTTTCATTCTTTGAACTGAAATTAAAAATGTCAATTTTAATTTTGGATGTTTGAATTTAAAAATTTTAATTTGTTTAAATTATGCAAATACTTTCTTTCCACTTTTAGTTCTCTTTGTAATATAAATTTTTCATTCATATTCAATTAACAAAATTGTTTTTGTAATGACAAATTTATCGGAAGTGATTTTAAAATTTTGAAATTTAATTAATGATGATTTGCATTGATCATTTATCCATTTTTTTTTTTTTTTAGTTGCAATAACTGCATATTTAAGGCATCGACAACTTATTGAATTTTACTGGCATTATTTGAAACAGGTTTTATTTATCAGAATTTGTTGATATATGCATATATTTAGCTTATCGTTATTTTAATATTATAACTTCGGATGATTATCATAATAAACTTAAATATTGTTATTATAATAAACATTAATTATTTATAATAAATTTAAATAAATAACTGATCTAAAAAAAAATTAAATATCTGATTACAATAAATTTAGACTTAAATAATGCATTGATCATTTATCCATTTTGCATCCATTTATCCATTTATTTATCCATTTATCCTTCTTTCTTTTATTTATTCTTTTTTCCTCCATAAAATCACTTAAGCTTATTTTATTAGCATTCCATAAAGCTTTATTTATCTAAGCTTTCAAATTAAAAGATTTAAAATTTTTCCAGAAAAAAAAATCCTCTTTTTAAAAAAAAGTTATCAAATTATAAAATCTAAAAAATTTTTAACTATCGTGTTTTAAATTGAGGAATATGTTGATAATTCAAATGATTATCCCATTTCCCAAATTTTGCTTTATCATCAGGATTTAACATTTAAACTTATAGCAAATAATAAGTTGATAATGTAGAAATATTTTATCAATAAATTGAAATTTATTTTCTTGACTGATAGGAAATTTTGCGATTGTTTCTCTTTTTTCTTTTTTTTTTTTTTTTTTGCAGAAAGATGGAAATTGGCGAGATTATAGCACGATATACTTATGGTTTGGTTATTTTTCAGCATTTGGTGTCAGTTTAATCAGCAATTTTCAAGTATTATAACATTTTTTAATTATAAATTTTATTTAATAAAATTGATAAAGCATTTATATTTTTTGCAATTTTCCAATTTTTTGTTTCGATTATTTTTGGTATAATTTTTCATTTCTCACCAGTTGATTACCATAATTTTGCAAATACTAATACAATAACTACAAATTATACTATTCCTCATAATGCTCGTTATTCCAATCTTTTTGACCAATGGTCAAAAAAATTTAATATGTTAGTTATTCGTAATCTTAATTATCATGTATATAGAAACAATTAGCTATGATATCATCTTGATATCATTTCTGATACTATACTTGCAATTTTTGTTTTTTTTTTTTCCTTCCACAGTAATTCATAAATTTGAATTATAAAATTAATAAAATAATTGGATAAATTATAAATTTGCAGGAAATGAATTTTATTATGGTCCATTACATTGGAGCTATTTTGGCTTTTGGATGTGGTTTGGTATACATTTGGGCCCAAACACTCTTCAGTTATTGGATGCGACCTGAGTTTATAAAAGCTACAGTACTACATTGTCGCCTATTTCTGAGTTGTTTGTCAACCATTTTCTTCATCACTAGTAAATATTTTTTTTTTTTGCATTCAACAAAATGCTAATTAATTAGCAATTATCAAACTTCTGTTAAAGCAATAATAGATTGATAAAATCATACTATGAAAGCATTTCCTTTTTTCTTCCAGACCTTGCACATCTTAATTCTCTATGTCATTTGATAAAATCCTAATTGAATTATGAATAGTTCTACATGCTCATTTAATTATTTTTTTTTATGAATGTAAATAATTAATAATTATCATATAGAAAAAATTATCATTTACTTTCACTTGTTCTTTACCTTTAAAATATTCCGTATGAATTCTATTCTGATTAAATTTCACAATAAATTTTTTTTTCGGATAGTCTCAATTTTGGGCATTTTCTTTTTCGTGAACTTCTCCCTTAGAACTTAATATTGAAATATTGTTTTAATGAATAACTCGTTGAATGAAATTGGAATTTCAAGTGGGAATATTTGGAACAATATTTGGGCAGCATGCAGAAAATTGGTTCTGCTGCAAGCAACTTAAACGGACACTGGAAAGCAACCCGGTAAGTTCACAAATAATTCTTGATTTATTAGTTAACTGAATTGTTCGATATATTGATAAGCTAACTTCACATATTTTACATTCCTTCAAATTATGATAATCAATAAGATCATCCTAATTTATGCAACATAATCATACCTTGCAAATTTTTTTTACTAGTAATTATAATTATGCTTAATTATGCTTTGTTGATAACAATATGATTGATTATTGAAATGCCGTAAAATGATATTTCCAAAAAGCAAAGGTTTATAATGCTAATTGAGAAACATTTCGATATTTTCTGTTAATATGGTTAAATGATTGATAATTTGGTTTAAATTTGATTTAAAAATGATTAAATGATTGGTGAATTTCGTTTAAATTTTGTTTTTTAAAAAGAATAAAATGATAATTAGAAAAGAAAAGAAGCAAAAAATTTATGATTCATTTGAAGTATAGCATTATGTGGAACATATGATTGCTACCTGTTCGGAATGGTTGCTAGCAATTTGTTTCGAATTTTATATTCTTACTTTTGCAATTGAATTTCGACATATAAGCTGTCATGGACCGAAACTAAAATTGAATTTGGATACATTCTATCAAATTAATCAATTTAACGCTGATAACGCTGATAAAACTACTGGGACCCGTATTGAATCTAACAATATGAGTGGATAGAATAATGATCATTCAATAAGCATTCCTCGACCAATTGATTTCAAAAATAACATGAATGATTCATGCTGTAATGATGATAATAAGATAGCAGATATTATGAAATTACCAGTTAATTTTTACTTTTCAAATATTTCATCCAGATTATAAGCATATTTCATTAGGTCATATTCTTCAATGCTTAATATCTGTTAGCTTAATTAATATCACTTTTATGAGATAATAGATAATAATTGTTTGATTATTTTAATATTCAATTGATGAAATATTTTAAAATGTTATGATGAATTAATTTCATTCCTTGCAAAAATTTATGGATGAATCATTAATATTTATTATCATACTCATCAAGAAGAACTTCGAAGAACTACATTTTTATATTCATCCTGATAAGTTCTTGTATTTGAGTATTGTAAAAATGCTAAATACTCATTAGCTGATTATTATTGATAATTAAACCCATTGTTATCAATATGTGTGTCAAGTAGCATCAATGCAATTTAACTGCTAAACATAAGCCAAGATCGATCTATCTTTATGAATGATTTTAAGCTTATGAAGTTAAAAGAACTCTAATCAATATTATCTTTAATAATAACTGATTAATTGATTAATTAGTGGTTTGATATTTATTACATTAATATCAGTTCAATTTTGAGCCACATTTAAATTAAATTTAAATTAAATGAATAAATTGAAAGAATCAAATAAACAAGCCTATAAGAGATTAATTTATTAGCCAAGTGCAATACGTTCTATTGCATATAAGTATTACGAATATATAATGGTAATGGTCATTTGGTTGTGTAAGTTGGAATTATTTTGTTGATATCAATAATCGGAAATGATAAGGGTTATCACGGTAGTAATATATTATCACTTTGTTGACAAGTTTGTTTGTCTATTTTCTCTATCAACAAATATATAGATGACAAAATATGGATATAATTTGGCCCATATAATTAATCCTTGATAATTAATTTATCATTTGTAATTAGCAATGTTCTTCAATCGACCAATATAAAAATTCATTCTAATTTTTAGACTGAAATTGCTTATGCAATATGTACCTGTGATAAGTATTAAATGTTATTCAAATATATAAATATGAAAATTTACATACATACATGTAATAAGTGCAAGTGAATTATTTTATAAATGAATGAAAAGTTGTAAATATTGTTGGTTTCATCACTTAGCATTCCTAAAACTTTGTTCACTTCCTTTGATAAGTTTGTGAAAATATGGCAAATGACCATATAAGCAATGTTTTCAATTCATCATGTTTTAATCATAGGTAGTTTTATAGAAAAAAAAAAAAATTAAAATGGAAGGGAAAGAATCATCCATCCTCACCATTTCGTCCTTATTAATTTATGCCTATAGTTTTTAGATGATACGGATAATTTAAAAATAAAACAGCGTGTGAAGCGTATGAAATCAAGCCTTACGTTTCAAAATGTTTGTGCAAATCATTTTTTGACAAAGGAATGATAGGAAAATACCACACTTACAGTACATCAATACCGTAGCCTACAATAGATACCGTAGCATACAATAGAGCCGTTAGCTCTAGGAAAAATAGAACTTATAGAAGTAGGAAATAAACCAATAATTCGTTTTTTCTTTTTTTTTTTTTACTTGTTTTCCTTTAATTTTGTAGTAACTAAATTTAGTTACTAAAAAACTTTAGGCAAGAGCAATGGAATAGGATAATCTGACCAGTTGGACAGAGTAGAATGGGGTCATTTGTGATGTGTAAATGTTAGGAATTGCAATGAATTTGAAAAACAGAAGTATATATTTCAATTAAAAGAAAAAAACAAATTCATTCATTCCCGCCTATTGCGGTAAGAGCGGCGGTTAAAGGATCATTCTGCTACTTTCTACTCATCATCCAAATATAAACTTAAGGGAAATCCGTCAGACGTAGTATTATAAATTTTGGTTTGTTTCGTTTTTCTATATTAAATTAATGATCGATATAAGTGATTAAATCATAGTTAATATGGAACAAAGTGTGGTTGTAAATTGGTTTTAAAAGTTTTAATAATCGAAATCAAAAAATTTGAATTCAGAAAATTCAAAAAAAAAAAAGTTACATGAAATTTGAGCGCTATGATTCGCAATACTGTAAGGGTTCTTCCATTCATTCAATGTGGAATATCGAATAAATGGCACATCAGTTAATATCCAACAAGATTATCTATGTTTCCCGAGATTTCTTGGATCTTGATTATTTTAATAGAACTTCTTTTCCACCATCATGCAAATCATTTCAAATTGTCGAGAAAGTTCAGGAGAAAGACAAATTTCTCTGTTGAAAATGCAATGATGGCATAAGAATAGGCAGGAAAAGAAATAGACAAAATTAGAAAGGAATGAGGAGAAAAAGTCAGAATACGGCAGAGGAAGAGAATAGAATAAATTTATGAATGGAATAGGAAAAGGAACAGATCAGAAATAACGTGCGGTAAATAGAAAGTATAACATGCTATTTTCTACATGCAAATATGCATTTATCTCATGCTTATGCACGTTGCATGCATTGCGACGAGACCAGTTATTGCACGGGTTTGTTGCATCCATTGAAGTGCTAATACAGCACGTCGAGCATTCATCATAACTGCAATCCCGGTACATTAACTGGTGGGTACGCTTTGCTAGTGTGAGGGTACCGCATAGAGTGCATGTGAGATGAGTGCATAGTGTGTATTGCATGCGAAGTGTACACGATGTTTTGTTAACTGTAGGTTATATGAGTCACGCTTGCATAATCTTACACTGCTAAAATGTTGAAAATCAAGTTTGTTCAACAGCAGCAGTAGTCGGCGTGTATGCAGCAAGCATAACCGGATGAATAGTTCTTGCTCCAATATAAACAATTGTAACAAATATGTAGTATGTGACGGTAAATGCATGTAATTGTAAAACAGTAGCATGCATCATGCGATTAGTGGTCATAGTGACGTGCAGCGTAGTAGTAGTAGTAGTGGTATTAGCGTACAATGTAGTAAAGCTGACAAGCTTAGTGCAGGGTATGGGTGGTCGGTCGTGTACACAGATATATATATATATATGTTTATATTATGTATGTATGTATGTGAAGGCATGCCCCGGATGACAACGTGGCAGGAACGAAACAGCTTGTGTATACCATCTTGCTGTCATCCTTTTTATTTGGATGTCGTAAAGATGCGGGATAAAGAAGAGGATTGGATCCAATTGGAGTTCCATTTATCCAGTAATTGTTTGAATGGTTTATGTGGAAAAATCTCGGGAGCTTCGAGAGTTATCATCCTCAAAAAATCGATTCTAACATGCACTGCTGAAGGATAACTAGTGGCTAGGGGATGAATTTATACAAGTGTTTCCCACAAGATAATCGATATTGATAGTTGTAATTAACTGCTTTACTTATTTCCTTTTTTCATATAATCGAATATAGGATTACTTGTATTGTGTTGGGTTCTTTGTATTGATCCCAAATTTCATGTGTTATGATCATCTGATACTCTCTTGGATATATTTTGTAGGTACCATACAGTTTCTCGGAAAGTACCATTGGTAGATTTATTCCATGTTTCAGGTGAAAACGTAAAGGCTAGTGGTAATTAAGATAGATAAATCTAACAATAATTGACATGGTATTACAACCGATCGATATCGAAACCACAGCAGGAAAAACGAAAATGATCTTGCATGATCTTTAGTTGTTGATTTGAGTTTGGCTAATTGTTACCTCGCCAGATGGTTGAAATAGGTGGGGTTGCAGCTATTTCCGAAAATCGCTTCCGGAGATATGTCAGCTGGTATTATGAAGCACTTGTACTCGCTAAAATGGGCACATCACGTCAGCGAACTTAGCGATTAGTGTACTAAGTATTGGATTGTGGAAGTAGATATTCTGGATAAAAAATAGTGCTTCAATTGATATGTCGCGGAACGCATAACAACTTTACTAGGAAATCATCAACTAAACAATGAGGACATTTACTCTGCTCATAGGAAAATACGTTCACTGAAATATCTTGTTTGAATGGAAATCATAATATTTCAGGAAAGCTGGGACTTTGTAGGAAATCATCGGTATCTCAGACTTCTGACATAGATTAACAAAACTTCAATAAGAAGAGAAATGCGAATCATTGTCCTCCCATAATTTTCTTTTGCTTTACGAAATTGACAATATGTCATTAAAAACCAGATAAGCTGTAGACATTCCTTTTTCTGGATGTGCGCGTTATATCCCACGCCATCACAACATATATTTATCGGGAAAGATACATGTTCAAAAATGTTTTATTTTCAGGTAATTAAAAGGGCTTGGAATTTTTTATACACAAAACAGAGTTTAGTTTGAAATTACATCGCAGTTAAGCGTGTCGAACTTTGGGATCTCGCAAAAGCTGCTAGTTAAAGTAAGAATAAAGCGAATTTTATTATTTAAAGTAACGTTGTCAAATAACTGAAAATTTCCTCGATTGATGCAAAGGCTATAACTATGTGAAACGCAGTTACATAACTGAGATCAAGGATGTGTCCTTAAATATGGAAAATAATTTCCTTTATTTCCTAGTTTCAAAATTACGTTATTTTGTCAAACAGGTGCTTTTTGGAATGTTTAACTACAAATGTTGATACAAATATAATACAAATGTATATTTTTTTTTTTAAATGGTACTTTACCATTATTCAAGATAATGGGTCCTGAATATTTGATAAGGGTCAAATATTGTTTGGTTATTGAAAATATAATGATTATCGTTTAGCAGTAATAATAAACATTTTTACCTTATTTCACACTTTTTCTGAGAAAGTGTTCCACGTTAGTAGTAATTTGGAAATGCATGCATCATTAATGAAAGTGAGAAAAAAAGCCGGTGTGTAGTTTTTCTTGCATTTCTGTCTTGCAAATTCTTCTAGTGGTGATATGCATTTAGCAAATGAATGGATGAATCTGAAATTAGGTAATTTCAGGAAAACTTTTGGGGACTGGAAAATCGTATGGATGACCAGAAGCAATTGTTTCTGTTCGCATTTCCAGTTCCGAGTAATGAGGATCATTTAATCGATCGGTAATTGATTATCCGTACACAGATGATGTTTAACATGCTTTGTTGAGTTTTTGAATTTTAATTTGGGTATAAGGGATATCCAAGCTTCTTTCATATGCAATTTCACTGGAAACAACAATAATAGAGGTTGTCTGAAAACGTTGCGATTAGCTATGGTTTTAAATGAAGAAGGATGGAATTTGATGAAATCTTTCATTTTTTGTGTTTTACAGTATAAAAGAAGCATCAAATTCTCGGAATCAACATGGTGCTGTATCAACTGCAGCACTAGCTAACGTTGATGCCGACAGTATTGCACAACTTGCTGTTGGTCCAAATCATGTGGCATTTCTGTTCAGGGTATGCAAATATTGTCAGTTTTCTACCCACTAATTTCATTCGAATGTTAGAAATATCCGAACTTTTACCTAGAATTTATTATCAGTTGAGCTTTTCGGAAATCGTTTCTTAATGTGAGCTAAAATATATTCTAATTATATTTTTCAGTGTGGTCGTGTTGCTCGATTGAAGTACACTTTAACAACTGCTACTAGAGAGGAAAACACCAGCGATGACAAAAACTCCAGTGGAACAAGCGGAGGTGGAGGTTCGGGAAGTGGCGGCAGTGGGGGTGGGCCTACAACAGGTGGTAGCAGTGGTTCATCTACCGGTACTGGTTAGTTATTCCTTTCTAATAAAAGACGAAAAATTAGTCCTAAGGTAAGCATACCGTTGGTGGGGCGAAAATTTCTCACTCTTTTTTTATTTTAATCGTTTAAATTTGGAGTGTATTTTATTTTCATGTTGTTTGTTATAATTTCAACTTTTTTTTCCTTTGCAGTATTAAGTCGTGGTGCAAAAATTAGACGGGTAATGATGGCAGCGAGACGGACGGCGGGCGCACTGGGCGAACGTGCGGGTGTAATTGTTGATCGAAGTCGACCGCTTGTCCCTCTTAGTGCTATTCCGGAGGATCTCATTGCTCAAGCCCAGGTGAATAGCACTATAGCACTTTACTCAGAAATGTGATCATTTTAGGATTCTGGAAATATGTGGTTACACGTGGAAGTGATATTATCTATTTTATCAGCTAGGAAGTAAAAAATGTTCTAGTGTGGACTGATTGCATTAGTCCTACTGTTGGCTTTTTTTTGAAGGTTGTTTTACAAGGGAAGTCACGTGAAATTATTGTACGCGAGCTTCAGCGAACGAATCTCAATGTAAACGAAGCTGTAAATAATCTGCTCAGCCGTGATGACGAAGAAGGTAACTGTTTTTCTGAAATTAGTTGCGGTTAACAATTCCCTAGGTTATACAAAAGAATAATTTTTCACACTTCGACATTTAAATGTTACACACTTTCTTTTAGGAGATGAAATGGATGAAGGTTCCGAAGCGTATCTCCCCGAAGAGCTTCTGTCGTTGTTGGATGCCGGATTGCGAAGTGATTCACATGGAAGTGCCGTAATTGATGGCGATAATTTGTATGCAAGTGGCGAAGGTTTTGATTATGTTGTTGCAAGGGATATTGCTCGAAGACGAGTAGATAGGGGTTAGTAAATCCACAAATTTTTAGTTCCCTGTAAAAAAGGAGCTCTTCTATTTTGCATAAATTCCTTTCATTCTCCATGCTTTTCTTGCTTGTTGAGATGTTTATTTCAGATAAAAAAAGTGACAAAGTCAAAGAATTTTCTTCGGAAACTTATACGCGCTTAAAATATGATGAAAAATTGCAATACTGGGGTAAAGAAACAGTGAGTTTGTTGTTTTCATTCAGATTTTTTCATTCGGTATTTTCCATGTATGAAATTGTTTTGTTCTCATAATATATTGTACAATGTTTTGATTTATAACTGTTTTCTTATTAAATTGCTATTGACGGCTTCGGTTGGTATTACAGGATATGTTTCCAACGGGTGTGACGAAGTTTGTGAAAATAGCTGCTATGAGTAGTGAATTAATCGCGTTAGGGGATAATGGGTTTTTCTATGGTTGGTCATGGAAGAATGATGGGCACGGTTCGATGACTGCACATCCCTTTAGTACCAAACTTTTAACTGGTGTAAGTTTCCGGGTGACTTTCTTTGCAAATTTATTTATTTATTAATGATTTACGGGGATATATTGAGGTTAATCATGTTTAAGCAATTTAATTTCAGGCACCAGATGAAGAAAAATTTGTAGATGTAGTATCATGTGCATATCGTGCATGTGTTGTAACAAGTATGAATAGGGTAGCATCATTTATGGATGGGGAAGCATGTGGTATGAAGGTATCCAATATGCTATTAACGCCATTGATGGAAATACCGGATGGCGAAAAATATGCATCGCTATATGTGTGTCCGATGTATTGTCTGGTGAAAACTCAGTCAAACACTTGTTATTGGTGGTATGTGTTTATTTTTTTGTTCTAATATCTGTTATATGTCTTCATTTTTGTCTCTTTTTACGACACTAGCGGAAAATCATATCGTAAGTTTAGATCTATTAAAGTTAAGCTGTTTATATGGTTATTGTGGATGAATGTGAATTCCTTTTTTTTTTTATAGGGGTATTTATCCATTTAATGAAAGACGAAAATTATGGGAGCGGATGCGTTCAAAATCACGTCGCAATTCAAATCTTGCTTCACCTGAAGTGGTTGAGGGTTGCGAAGTTCGGACGAAGTCGCACCCTATATACACAACGGGCTCAATTGCTTTGAACTTCAGTTCTGGAACACCAATGGTTGGAATTTATTTTAAACAGCATGTAACATCAAGCCTGAAGACATTTTACTTGAGCGGATCATGAACTGATACCATACTTTAGGAGAATTATTAGCCTGGGATTTCAATAGTTTTGATTAGGTGAATGAAATTTTGTTTAAAGGTTGGCGCTTTAATGGAATCAGCTTGGACGCTGTCTGAATTGTGTAGGTTTCGAGTAATGACACCAACACAGCACGATGAGACCAGCGATGATGACGGTTCGTGCCTCAATTCTTCTGCGCATCAATCGGCTGATAAAAAAGGCTCCTTGAATCGTGAGTTAATTAGAATGCATCTCAGCTGCTCCTTGCCCCAATAAAATTCTTATGTTCATTGTGCCTGTACTCCGATGAAAAAGAGCGAACCGAATTAATTGGTCGATTCAAGTTGGTGCAAATCTACAATATGCGTATTTTTACATTATATGAATGGAAATGTCTGTGAGTTTTTTAAAAGAGAAGACATTGATGAAAGCTGTAACACCAAAGTGAAGCGACAGTTTCTATGGGTGTTTAAATTGGCTTTGTGGGATGTTTATGTTATATTCCTAGTTGACTCTCTTCATGCTTCTTAGCTGCATTCTAATTTGCCATGTAGTAGTAGCCTTTTCTTTAAAAACAAAATTATTGCTTTTCTTCAGTTTAACTCTAAGGTTGTATGGTGCAATTTACGCTTACACTTTTTCTCGCTTCACTTTCCATTACTTTGGGGAATTATGTATTTTTCATTTCGGAATGACTGGTTTCATTTCGACATCATCTTTCAGTTTCTGTGTAATGTCTACTGGGTAATATTTTACG